AGGCATGCACACGCAAAGACAGACAGGAGTAGAGAAAAGGCATCAATTAGTTCCAGCTCAGGAATTGAAAAGGGGGTGGAAAAGGGAAGATTTCACGGAAAAGACGATAGAAGCTGTCTGTAGGAGAGATCAGGACTCAAAAACCTTGGACAAAAATCATAAATTTCTCCTTAAACCCAAAGAACCCGTCCAGCTGAACACTTGCAGGAATGCCACCTGATATCGTTTGGATATTTGTCCCTGCCGAAATCTCATGTTGAACTGTAATCCCCAGTGCTGGAGGCAGGGCCTGGTGGGAGGTGTTCAGATCCTGGGGGCGGCTCCCTCATGGCTGGGTGCTGTTTTGGATAGTGTGTTCTCCTGAGATCTGGCCACTGAAGCGTGGCACTCCCCCTCACTCTTTGCTCCCGCCCTCGCCATGTGATGTGCCTGCTCCCACTTCGCCTTCCGCCATCATTGGAAGCTTTCCGAGGCCGTCCCAGAAGCAGATGCCAGAGCCATGTTTCCTGTACAGCCTGCAGAACCATTAAACCTCTTTTCTTCATGAATTACCCAGTCTCGGGTATTTCTACCTCGCACTGCAAGAATGGCCTAATACACCAACAGATCTGAGGGTGTGATATGGTTTGACTATGTCCCCACCCAAATCTCCTCTTGAATTCCCAAGTGTTATGGGACGAACCTGGTGGGAGATAATCGAATCATGGGGGCAGTTCTTTCCCGTGCTATTCTCCTAATAGTGAATAAGTCTCACGAGATCTGATGGTTTTGTAAGGGGGAGTGGCCCTGCACAAGCTCTCTCTTTGCCTGCCGCCATCCAGGTAAGATGTGACTTGCTCCTCCTTGCCTTCCACCGTGATTGTGAGGCCTCCCCAGTCATGTGGAACCATAAGTCCATTAAACCTCTTTTTCTTTCCAGTCTCGGGTATGTCTTTATCAGCAGCATGAAAACAGACTGATACAGGGTCAAACCGATTCTTCAAGAGTGAGGGAAAAGGGGAATATCAGAGAACACTTTATATGTTAGATCTTAAGACTCACCGAACCTGAAAGCTGGAAAGAACCAATTAAAGAATTTCCAAGTATGGCAGACCATCTAGGGATATACCCTAAAAACACAGGACCCCTGAAGATGAAGCTCACACTGAGGACAGTAAGAAACAGAAATGCGAGTCAGGGACGCTTAGTGATAGGCTGGAGCCTCTGGATCAGGCCTCATCAAAAGGAAGCCAGGCTACCCTATGATGCTTCAGTGACCCTGAGCAACCAGGTCCTTTTGCCATTAAAGGAAGAGAGAAGGGTGAGGAGGAGAGAGCGGCAGCAGCAGGGAAGAAGTCAAGGCTCAGTTAGTCTAGAGTGGAGCTGGGAATCTGAACGTTGACCAAGCGCCCTAGTGATTCTAAGCACAGGTGAGAACAGGACTTGCAGGCAGCGGGGCTGCAGGCACAAAGCTGTCACAAATCCAAACAGATGCAGAACCATGCAGCTGAGCTGAGAAACTACGAAGTCACCCAGGGGAAGAAACGAGCTGCTCTGTCATTGCCCTTCTGTGACATCAGTCTTTTCACTGACGAGGATCCCAGCCACCGGGTCAATGCTTCCATGTTAGAAGAGGCAAAGCTGGTCCTCTTTGTCACCATGGCACTCCCAGAGGTCTCCAGAGGAAGATTAAGACTCATCCTTTATCTACATGAGAAGGCGGGGGTGGGGGGGTACCAATGTATGGGGAAAGTCTGCGGGAAATGCAGATGGCAGAAGCACTTAAAGTGCCTCAGGTCGGAAATCCCCTTGTTCCTCATCCCTGCCCATGCTAAGCCATAAGCACACCCCCCAGGAAGAACTCCAGCTCCTCCTCAAAGAAGAACCCCAGAAGGCGAGCAAAGACCCCAGAAATCCTTGTCCCCCCTCCTCAAGCACAGGGAGCTACGACAGAGTCCTGTCCCATAGGAGGAAACGGACGCAAATCAGTTCGTCCCTCAGAGGAAAGTCGGCAACTGTGACAGTCCCCACATTTTCAGAAAGATAGCGCAGCTGCATCATGGAGTAATGATGCAGGTACCGGGCACTTTCCAGGGAATTAATGGCTGCCTGAAAGGAGTGAGGGCCTGAGGCAACGCCAGGAGCCATTAACCCTTCCCATACCACTCCCCGGGAGAGCTGGAGCTCCAGAGCAAGGGGCGGGGACTTCTGACTGTGCCGGAGGAGGCCAGATTCTATTGTCACAGAAGGCACATGGGCCCGGCTGCAGCCCGCAGCCAGTGGAGCCTTCACAGCCACACACTTTCAAACAATCAGACCTGTGATAACTCACTCACTGTCACGAGAACAGCAAGGGGGGAATCCAAACCCATAATCCAATCACCTCCAATCAGGTCCCTCCCTCAAAACTGGGGATTACAATTTAACATGAGATTTAGGTGCAGACAGGGCCAAACTATACCAGATGGTAATACTAACAGTACTGTGAGTATCTGCTTGTCCATTTCGCCATTTCACTAAACACTGAACTCAGGACACAAATATCTGTTCAGTTTTTGTGTACTCAGCACATAAAAAAGAGGAATTAAAGAGTTCTGTCAATCTACGAAGTAAGCATTTGTTGAGTGGATGAATGAACGAACAGCTCAACAATGTCACATGCCTTTACCAGAAACAGAAAGACAAAGCCAGCAAGTCAAAAACACAGCTTCGTACCTATCATAGGGATTCACACACAGACAACTGCAGGCAAGGGTGGAAATACATGAGGTGTGTAATAAAACCTACTGTTGACTCAAAAAATAAGATACTGGGAAATTAACTTGAGTAATTAGCAGAACTCTTCAAATTAGAAGAAAGGAAACAGAAAAACTGGAAAGCTTCTTTAAAATAATTAATTGGATGTTACTTCGTTCCAAAAAACAAACAAACAAACAAAAAACAAATTAAGGCAGATTAAAACCCTTTCTGTCATTTTGGGCTGACTCTTTCTTTTTTTTTTTTTTTTTTTATGTTTTTGAGACAGAGTCTCTGTCACCCAGGCTGGAGTGCAGTGGTGTGATCTCAGCTCACTGCAACCTCCGCCTTCCCAGTTCAAGTGATTCTCCTGTCTCAGCCTCCCAAGTAGCTGGGATTATATGTGCTTGCCATCACACCGAGCTAATTTTTGTATTTTTAGTAGACACAGGTTTCACCATGTTGGCCAAGCTGGTCTCGAACTCCTGATCTCAAGTGATCCACCCGTCTTGGCCTCCCAAAGTGCTGGGACTACAGGCATAAGCCACCACACCTGGCCTCTTTTATTTCTCTATTTTGATAACTTTGGTACCAATGATTCTTCATTAATGTCATTACCAAATGGAAATGCCATTACCACATTCTGGCTAAGAGCAGGTACACAGTAATTTGCTCATAACTATCATGCTTTCCATGGCCCCATTTTGTGTTGAATTCCTGGGTTTCTGCTGGCTTCTGCTTTGTGGAGCTGCATTTGGAAGGCAGAGTGGTGTGCCTCCCATCCTATCTCTATGCCTCTTTTGCCCATGTGGGTTTTACTCCCCAATTCCCCTGGAGGCGCCATCCCTGAAACCACAGGCCATCTTCATGGCGGGTCCTCCTTCCTTCTCAGGTGGCCATTGGTAACTATTTTTATAAATAAATAATTCCCTTCTTATATTTTCTCCAGTAGAAAAGTAACACACATACATATATACACATTCTGAAAACAAAATATTAGAAAGAAAATAATTTTATATCCTGATTAGATGTTGCCCCCACCTCGCCCCAATCTGAGGTTCTGCTTTCCGAGGTTTCAGTTACCTGTGGTCAAGTGTAGCACAAAAACAATGAATGAAAAATTCCAGAAATAAGCAATTCATAAATTTAAATCACACACCATCCTGAGTAGTGCAGTGAAGTCTGGAGCCGTCCCACTCCATCCCACCAGAAACATGAACCATCCCTTGATCAGGATATCCATACCCTGA